TGGATCAACCCGCATGATGTTGACCCAGGATGAATAAACTCGTCCCATTGTTAGGGGCGTGTTCCCTCCAAAAGTGGTCTGAGTCCCCACTAAAAGGGGGCACCCCCCAATCAAAATCAACCAGGGGTTTATTCATCCGGGGTTAACATTAACCCAAGAAGGTCACCATCTTGTCCAGGAACTAGTGGTTTCCCCCAATGAGTCCAGAAACTCGGCTAGCGATCCAGCACGTTTGAAATTCAAGCGACCCTTGGAAGGTAACACAAAATGTCCGGGTCCCCGAAACACTCGCGATTTCTGACCGTCAAATAGGCAAACCCACGGGAATTCTGTGCGACTCATGGTTTGGCCAGCAACTCCTGTAAGGCTATCCCATCAAGACGGAAATTCTTGAAATTGAGGCAACTCCAGAAACACTTCCCCACCTCCACCACCCCCTCAAACAGCATCATTCCTGGTCTGCTGTGTTTATGTACGTGCGTTTGTGTGTGTGCGTGTGTCACATGTTGAAATTCATGACCAAACTGCATGTCTGACGTCTTTCTATTGTGGCACAGACCCTAGCATTTGTCTGGGAAATCGCGCTATCTGCTGTTGCTATGAAGCGTCGGCCGCAATAACAACAAGGCCTTCCAAACTCTCACTTGAGCGCTGCTGAGAAAACGAAAATCCGGTGTAATTCGCTCGAGTCTGGTGCGGGCCTGCCTCTTGACAACACAGCAAACTGGTCGGCTTGTGCTTCTTTCCAAGACTTGTGCGTGCTTCTCTGACTGCGGCCTACATAAATGCGTGTGCGGGGTATTACGTTCCCTTGCCACATGAGCCAAGAGCGCAAGATAGCCGTGGGTCGTAATTGCAAGCGAGGTCTGTAGACTCAGCAGGGCTCAGCACTCCGTACAAGGTAGTTGCAAATACTGGTGGGGATGTTCCAATAGCTCTACGGATGATGTTAGATGTCTGCATGAGAGGATTGCTTCATCGCTTGATGGAAAGGTGATACTGGAAATATCACCTCAAAATCTACAGTAGTGTGGAAGCCTATACTTCGAACCTTCACCTGCAAAAGGCAGTCCTCAGGGCCGCAAGCCGGTGTGAAGCAAGACTAGGTCCTCCAGTAGAGAGGGTAGAATAAGGGTACCCTGTTTTTCTGTAGACTATTTCAGTAGGCGAACCCTCCCAAAAAAAAAGAGTTGGTAAAAGAGCACCACTAGAAGACCTAGAAGACGGTCACTGTCCATGTTGATTACTTCCAGCAGCAACGAAGCGCCAACTCCCGCCTCAGGGACCGGGTAAGCAACAGGCGCCGAAGCAGAGGGCCAGCGAGGCCCAATCCAAATTTCACACCCAGCGAGGCCCAGAAGCCCGAGGTGAACTTCTGAAGTCTGAGGTGGTACTCAGTTGCCCAAAGGACCAGACAACTGACACTGAGGGTATGGAGCATCAAAGTTGGGCCGGTTCCAATCAATTCAATGTCCCCAGGCACTACCGGCACTGCTCCACTGCTCGCGCCGTGCCGTGGAGACCACAACGAGTCCGGCTACACCAGAAATCTGAATAGCGTTCCATGGGAGGATGCCGCTCGTGCACAGTGTTGTCATGCAGAGCAGCCTCAGTGGAGGTCTGCTGCCCACTGCACCTTAACCACCCGAAGGCCGTCCCGAGAAATCCCTGAAAGCGGGCCAGTCGGTCTCCTTGAGCAAGATGTCATCATTCATCCGAGCGCCATGAGAGAGCCAGCCCCGGACAACCGAGGCACGGAGTGAGACCTACCACCCACCAACCGCGAGCTTCGCAGCGCTGGCGCAGGTCCAAGGAGTGCTCAAGGCAGGCAGCTTGGCCCCTACAGAAATCCAACTACGAGCTTTTTAACCGCAACAACTTTAATATACGCTATTGGAGCTGGAATTACCGCGGCTGCAGCCAAAATGCCTTGGAACCTTCATGAAGGTCACACCGCCCCCCCCAAAGCCCCGCAAGTCGCCAAGAACTCGGCCGAGTCCACGCCGGCCTGTTGCGACCCCCAAGTAACACAGCTGGTAGAAGCCCGCCGGGTCCTGGCAAAATCGTGCCCGATTTGCATTGGTTGCTGCAACGAAGCCCCCTGCAAAAAGTGAGTTTCACTGTTTTGGGGGTTTAGTGGAAAGCCCAACTTGATTTCAACCAAAAAGCTAAAAGATCCGTTGCCCAATAGCAGTCAAGTTAACATTTCACTGGAAATCAAATGACCCACAGGCCATGACGGCTGACGAAATCCTCTTGGAGCACCTGACCTTTTATGTATGGCCATTGAATTTGTTGAGAGCACCCTAGGATTTGTCTACGGTTGCGCCTCCACTGGAGCAAAACTCAGCTCTAACTATTCCAGGTTTAATGGGACCAGCCATTTGCTTCCAAAGAGTCAAAGGGGCGATTTGGGGACCACCTCAACAGTGATTGGTGGACATGAATCCCCACCTAAATGATGTACACCAAAGGATCCCTTATTGAAATTCATACCATTTGGTCACACCATGTCACACCAAAGATCAGCAATGGAGATGCGCTTGTAATCCAACCTGCTAATCCGACCCTTGGAAATTCGCCTCGGCCCCAAAGGGGCCAAGGGCGCTCAGATCTCTTCTCCAAAGAGAATCTTCGCTTTTCCCCTCCCCCAACCCCCTCCCCGACCAAAATTTTGCCGGGCCGCCCCCCCCAACCCATGTCGGCTGGACCCAAAATCCTGTCCGGCGGGCCTTGAAATTTTCGGGGTTCGTCGGCGTCCAGCTCCATGGGTCCATTTTTGTCGAAAATGTGCTGACAATTGCGAAAATCACTAAAAAAATGCTTTTTTGTCCTGAAAAGCATGACCTCCTGGTGGCCACCTGCCTGACGTGTCTGAGACTAGGCTCAGGCCCAGCCCAACCAGCAACCCGCCTGCTGGCCAGGCCTGTCAGCCCCACCCAGCCTCAGGCCCAAGCTTGTCCAAAGCCCAGCCCAGCGCCCAGCCCAGGCCCTAGGCCGGCCCCAAGGTCAGGTTTGTCTAACGCCAACAACCCAGTCACGTGTCTGAAACTGGTCTCAAGCTATGCCAGCCACCAAGCGCGTCTGACGTGCCCCAGCCCCTGCCCAAGCAACTCAGCCCAGGCTGGCCTTGACCTCCTGCTCGCGTCTGGCCCCAAGTCATCAGCCCCGTCTCAAAGTACGCCAGCCTGAGATTGGCCTCTCAGGCCCAAGTGTGTATGAAACAGGCCTTGCCCATCCAGCAACCCGCCCAAGCACAGCTCAGCCCAGCCCGCCCAGCCCAAGTTCCAGGCACAACCAGCAGCCTGGTCCGGCTGCCCGGCAGCCAGCAACCCACCCATGGCTTCGCAGCCTCGTGGCTGAGACTAGCTTCAGGCCCAGCCCAAAGCCTGCCCAGCCCAGGCCTCAGCGCATCTCAGGGCATGCCAGCCACTACCGGCCCCCAGCTCCCAGTGTGCCAAGGTCAGGTTTGTCTAACGTGTCTGAGACTGGCCTCGGGCCAACGACCAGTCTCACGTGTCTGAGACTGGTCTCAAGCTATGCCAGCTACTCAGCAGCCCAGGCTGACCAGGCGCCTTCGGCGCAGTCTGAGACTGGTCTCAAGGTATGCCAGCCTGAGACTAGCCTCAGGCCCAGTCCCTCAGCCCGCCTGCTGGCGTGTCTTACGTGTCTGCGACTGGCCTCAGGCCCAGCCTAGCCAGCAACTCGCTGCCCAGCCTCAGCCCATCCAGCGACCCGCCCAAGCACAGCTCAGCCCAGCCAGCCAAAGTTCCAGGCGCAACCAACACCATAATCCAGCTGCCCAGCACCACCCATGGCTTCGCAGCCTCGTGGCTGAGACTAGCTTCAGGCCCAGCCCAACCAGCAACCCGCCTAAGCCAACCCCACCCAAGCCCACCCGGTTTGAGACTCGCAGGCCTCAGCCTATCTAGCGCCGAGACTGGGCCTCACCAGCCTGGGCTCAACTAGCGTCTAGCCCAGCCCAGTCCGCCTGCTGGCCAGGCCTGTCTGACGTGTCTGAAACTGGCCTCAGGCCCAGCCCAGCCATAGCCCAGCCCCCTCAGTGCGGCTGCCCAGCCCGCCGTAAACTAGCTTCAGCTCAACCAACAACCCACGCAAGCAAGGTCCAGCCAAGCTGCCCGAGACTAGCTTCAGGCCCAGCGCAGGCTTATCTGATGTGTCTGAGACTAGCCTGTGGCCCAGCCCAACCAGGCGAGGCCGGCTTGTCTGACTTGTCTGGAGCCAGCTTCAGGTATTCGGACCTTCCCAACACTGGATTTCGGTGTTCCTGACCCTTCCCTCAAACTAGGCTGGGCCGAGGCGGGCAACGCGAAGCGTTTACAATTACTCGCCCCACGTCCTGGCAATTATCGTAGACTTGACATCAGGATACCAAAGCAGGAGCCGAACAACTAGAGTCTCACAGCTTCCATTTGCTTAAGCATGCTTAAGCCCCCTGGAAAAAAAATAAACAATGTCCAGTAGTAATCGATTCCTTTTAAAACCAACAGGGGAAATTAAACATACTCGTAAACAAATGGAAGCACTGCTTCACATCCAAAAGGTGAATGGGGTTCTGACGAAATCCCTGGTTAGAGTCTGAGCCTGTGGTAATTTTCATGCTGCCTCGACGCTGCGATTCCCCGCGGCACTCAGATACGGCATCGCCCGTGCTGGAGACAAAACACAGATTTTCTTCACCAGGGGAAGAAATCCACCTCAAAACAGGGAGTGGCTAAAGAAACACAACAAGTTCGCGCCACCCTTCCAGGTGGAAGAAAAAAAGACGCCTCGCGAATCTTAAGGCGCCCAGTAGACGTTCTACTGCATGTGGAATCAGGGACCAAGTGTTGAAAGTGGGTGCTTCAACTACAAAAAGAAACAAAGGCGGTTATGGCAGCTGTGCCCTTCTCTTCCCCTTTGCCGTCCAAGAAGCATAATTTATTCAAGAGACTCATGAAGATACCTCCAGTCGGTTCCGGATTTGCAAGCTGCTGGTTTTCCTTTGATTCTCTAAGCCAGCTGAAAAGGAGGGGCCATGGGCCAGAAAGGCTTTGTTTCTGCAAGCCCCCCTTTTCCGACACTGGTCCATTTGGATCAGGCCGCAACGAAGAAGTGAGAAGAGAGGTCAGATTGCCTCCGGCAGCCCACTGGGTCACGACCAACACAAGGTAGACCCGGGCATTGCGCCAAGAAACCATGGTAGAACGAGGGTCCACCTTCGGACCAAGGAACGGTCTTCAACCGAAAAGGTAAACCATCACAAATCCAGATCTTGCAGGCCACTTTGGACCAAGCCACCCCAGCAAACCACACGGCCATCTGCCAACACCTGAGTTCGCGTCGTCCGCTGACAGGTGTTTGGAAGCCTAATTTCCTTTTGAAGGGCAGGCCCCTGCCTACTTCCAAGATAGCTGAACAAAAAGTGGATTGCCCATGCGAAAAAAAAATCAACAGAGGGCATGCTCATTTCCCCCTTGGAACGTAATTGGGTGTCATGGCAAAATACATTCTTGGCTACTGAAATAGTTCCAAACCAGCCAGCAACTGGGATACCGCCACGGTAAACATCGGAAGGGCAAGCTTAATTGTGTGCTGCTCATTTCAAGTGGAAAGACTGCCTTCAAAGATTCCAAGCAAGTTTAGAAAACACCAAACGCACAACTCATTTCCAATTAGACAAAGAACAAGGCCAAAACGAAGCAAGCGCACAAGTGTTCACAAGGAACGAGTGAGCAAGTGAAAAGAACGTTACAAGTCATCCTAGGATAATGTTGTCCAATGGCAAACTCTCCTTTAGTTTCGCGTCAAAACATGTCAATGTGACAAAGGCTGTATGTCCTATGAATCTCGATGAACCCTCCCTGTTATGATCCCCTGGTCAATAGCTGAATCAACCCATTAATCATTGTTGAGTCATGAGCCAGCCACCTTCGGGTCGGAAATGGATTATGGTCTCCACTATGGGTGTATCTCTTTCTTCGAGGGAAGCCCATGTGATTCTTGCTTTAAAAAGTTGTTTGTGGATAAGCAGAACACCCACTGAGAACTGGGTAGATGTTTTTTTTTTTTTTTTTGTGGGAACATTCAAAGCAATACACTGGAGGCATGCCTACGCTGATGAAAAACGTGAAAGGGTTATGTTATGCCCGCGTACGTCAGATTTGCTTGCTCCTCCAGAACACAAATTCCAGCACCCTGGTTTTTTATTATTTTCCTTTTGGTGATACAGTCCTGGTAGCTTATTCTTTTGCTTGTATATATACATACACATAAGCCTGTATATATATATATATGTTTACGCAGGTGTGGATGACATATGTGTTTTTCTTCCTGTTGGTTTCCATTTTCGGCCGTCGCAAGACATCCCTTACTTGCCATCGGTCACGAATCTCTCCGAGCCGCGGCCGCGAAGGCCAGCAGGCACCGCGCAATCTGCGTCACCTTCGCAGATGAAAACTTCCGGGGTCTGGATCTTGACATTGGAAGGGCAGCAAAAAATTAGATATTGGATTTCAATCATGTAAAATGGATTTCAAAATTTAGATATTGGATTTAGATATTGGCGGTTAAGTGGTTGGAGTTCAACCACTCAAGCCCAAGAAGCAGACATGTAAAAAGTTTGCCAACAACAACCACGGGATCGAAATGGGCTCGTCTTTTCCTATCTGATTCGATAGGGAACGAGAATTGGAATGACCCCGAAACAAGCCATCCAACTGGTGATTTGCTTTAAGGGAATCCCTTTCCGTTCATTCCCACATTCCCTACTGAGCACCTGCAAGTTTCTTCGCGGACACCCAAAGATGGTTGGTTTTGCTTTTGGCCTCTTTCAAACCACCTGAAAGAGGGTACCCTCAAAAACAGTCCGACATGGCACAAACTCTTGGGCGGAGTTGTTCATTGGACAAGTTGCATGCAACGCACATCCTCCAGTTGCCTAGAGGCTAAGTGGAATTGTCTGAACACGGCGCAAAAGCGCTCACTGCAAGCACACACATGCTTGCCATTTACCCTCTCTCCCACTAACATAGCACCTGTTGGAGGGTACCTGGAAGATCAATTTGCTCCTAAAAGGACCCTCTGTGAGGTGCCATGTTAGTTGGAGGTAGGTAATGTGTACTCTTGCAGACAGTATCTACCATGAAGGTGGCGGCACCTTGAGACCTTCAGACTCCACGAGCGCAAAGCTTTTTGCACTTGCCGAGAACGGTTCTTCAGTACATCTTCATGACATGGCACGCAGGGCATGCAAAACAAGCATGATTGCCTTGTTTCCCATGTCGGCTGCTGTGATGGGAACCTTGTCATCTGGGTGAATTATAATATTTCGCCAAGCTGAGATAAGGTGGTTGCGGGGCTATTCCCCACATAAACCACCATTTGAGTTGATGTCGCGTTAGGTCGTTATAATTCACCCAGTTGTCATTCCCCGCCCACGCCTGCTTCAGCTGCTCTTGCACAGCGCTACTGTCGCCGCCGGCCTTGGGATTGCCTGGGCAGTATCAAATCGACATCCGCTTGGTGGCCGCTGGGCGAAGTCGACACATCGATTCGTAGCATAGCAATATCACAATCACCAAGTAGGGCAAAGCGAAACCCTCAACGTTCTAGAAGGAGTGTGCGCTCTTCCGCATGTCTTGACAAGTGGCTAAATAGGGTATCTCGAACCAATCAAAAATGTCCATTGCGATTTGCCATCAAAAAACAATACAATCAAAACTCATCTATCCCACCCACAAACGCAAACAAACGTGGTTTGTGGTTTGGGGCAGAGGTGACCAACACACAAACTGGCAATCCTAAGGCCAAGGGTTCCGCAGCCCTGACTGAGATAGCCGGCTTTTGGCCCAGCACACACTGACCCCCAAAAAACAAGAAGGTTACCAGCAAGCCAACTAACACCTGGAGAAATCGGAGTACGTCTCGGGAGAAATACAGGTTCAGCATTTCAATATGTGTTTGTCAAAAGGAGGCAGTTTCCCCGGGACATATTGGCGATATCCGCCCTTCATGGGGAACATCAAGAAACACGTGCAGTACTTGGCACTCTGAGGAAAACCTGCCTGACCAGATTCTGCCAACCGATTTGGAACTCTCCACGCTTTGTGATGACACTTAGTTACAGCCTTTGATCATAAGCAGGGACTATGCCTTACACTGCATCGAACAGATAGCATCTACTGCCCAAAACCTGCATCTTGTGTTTGGTTTGTTTAAGCTACAGCAATAGATGTGTGTCGCTACATCTGCAGAGTGTTTCTTACTCGCCTGAACTGAAATGAGCCAAGATCTGTCTGCCAGCCCAGCACAACAGGATTTGCCATTCTGTCTTAAACGTCAACTCCGGGCTTCCTTGGACCACACCATCCGCAAAGAAAAGGATGTGCTGACCGTGACGCAATAACACCCATCATTCTTGGTTGCTGTTGACCCCTCTGAAAAAAGTTTAACTTTTTGTGGGTTTAGTGGGAAACCCCTTGATCTCCCAAAAAGTTAAAAGTCTAAAGATCCAACCCAATAGCACCCATCATGTTTGCTGGCCAAGGCACCCCAAGTCACCACGGACCCATCCGCCTCACGAGACGTGCCCCCTCAGGTCTTTTTTCCGCTGGGCACCCCTGGAATGTTACTTGTTTTAGTCGCGGTTTTAAAGGAAGCCGTTTTCGCCATTTGAAGGGGGGGGGCAGAAAAAAAGCATTGACGCATCCCCTTGGGGAAAGGTGGGGACTAAAGGGAAACCACATCTTGCCTGCGCACAGCGCTTTGAGAGTGTTGAGCCCTTGAACATTCCATTAGGAAAAAGTCACTTTGGCCAAAGGCGATGCTGAAAAACCGTCCAAAAAGGGGCAGTGTGGGGACTCCTGAAGGGAACCATCGATGTTGTTCTCAGAACCTCTCTAGAAGGCAACCCAGAGTTGATGCTTCTCTAGTGGCATTAATCATTGAACATGTTTGCCAGTAGTTTTCAAAATAAACCGGGGAGTATATAAGCAACCTTTCCAAACGCGCAGAGATAGCACCCGCTGAGTTCCTGGACGTGTATTTTGTTTTTGGGAGAATGATAATGTTGGTGTGGTCACATCCGCTTTCTAGGACTTCATGTTTAAGGACAATACCAACAACATATTTTGTTTTGAAGGGCTCCGGGAAGCGAGAACCGGGTATGTACGCTACAAACATGCAGAGCATTTGGGTGTGTCTTCTGTGGTTCCGTTGAAACTCAAGGGAAGTCACCCATCCTGTGTTTCAGGGAGTCATCTTTCCAACATGGAAGTGGACAGAAAGCTATGTTCCAGAAAGATAGAACACAATATCTAGTGAACATATGAAGATATGGATAAGTTCAGGTCATCATGATATTGCTGGAGATTCTATGTTTCTGACTATGTTGATGTAACAAATACTATGAGTACAATTACAATGTTGCCTAATTTCAATGACATGAGATCAGATAGATGGTTCTTTGAATTTAACACTGTAGTCAAATCATTTCAGGGCATAGCTTGAGGTCCAACCATAAGAATCGCGTCGTAATCCAGTATCATATCTATCAATATCAGCAACATGTAACAAAATTATAAACATGGTGTTCAACATATAATTAATGTGGATGGACAATAGTGTCATGAATTCCGTCCAATATTGTTCGTTTTAGTCCATCGTTGTATCTATTGTCATCTATTGTCAGGGTCCTGCCAGCTTTGATGCTACCTTTTGTTTGCAGATTTGAATGGAGTCAACTCCACACTCACAGAGTCTGGTCTAACTTCCTTCTTTTCGTGGGCTTTAAGTCTTGGCCTTCGGAAAATATGGCTGTGGCTCAAACAGATGTGCTAAACTGGCACCTTGGCAAATGGAAGCAATGACTAAAACCTGCGTAACCCTAAGTCTGTAATTTTGAGCCGCACCCATAGTGTTAGCTGTTGAATTCCAGGACTTGAGCAAAGCATTGTACACCATGGCCAAGAGTGAAACATGCTTGAAGTTCCGCCTGTGAAACATTGGCTTCTCAAGGAAAACCAAAAAGAGCCCCGCCGCCCCGCTCTTTTCCATTTTTGGAGCTTCCCCTGTGAACCCCCCCCCCCCCCAACCCCATTTTTGGAGGTTCCCCTCTTCCCCAGATCAACCGCCCCGCCCCCGCCCCCCCCAAAAAAAAAAGAGCACAAAACACCCAAACCCAAAGACCCCCCCAAAACCCCCCCCCCCCCCCGTTGCCCGCTTGCCCGAGTCGACGAAGGCCGTCTCCGGACCAACCTCCGGCCTTCAGCGCCGCGAAGGCGCCGCTGGAGGCGCAGAGCTCCACCACCGAGCCGCGGCCCAGCTCTGCCGCCGCGGCCGCCGGGATGTCCCCCCCCGCCTCTGGGTGAATGGGTGTCGCTCAGCATTAACCACTCAGTTGCCCCTTAGGGACCATGACTAAACATGGTTGAAACCATGGTCCATCATATCCCGCGGTTTTTGCTTTGAGGTTCTGGCTGAGAGCCAAAAAAGGGCTTAGAAGAGCATGGCAATTAGGTGAACCATAATATTTCACCAAGCTGAAACTTGCGGGGGCTGCTGATCGTGTTTGTTGCTCCAGTTGACTGACAGCAAACGAGCAACTCATCAAGATTTCGTGGATATGGGTGTGGCTCAAAATTAAACGATCGGGGCAAACCGCAGGTTTTGATCCATGTTTCCACGGGTTCCATTTAGCTACCGGTTTTTTGAGCCACAGCCATATTTCACCCAGCTGAAACTTGCGGTGGTTGGAATTCCGTCCATACTGCAATTGGTTGGCGTGTTTGCCTTTAACCAACCAAGGGGTCCATTTTGGAAAAGCCCTTCTGGGGGACAGTGGACAGTTCTCCGTTTTTTCGCCCGACGTGTCCCTTTCTGAGTTTGTGGGTACCAACCGTTTTGCGCTCGGAAGGGCTGTGATGGTTTGAAAGGCAAAGGGGGGCTTTTGGTTGGGGTACCTGGGTGATTTAATGTTTCACAAGGGCATGCCGGAGAAACTAAAAGCGGCTTGGCGGAAGGATTCTTCGACCAAAACACATTGTCTTCCGATCATAGAACCAGACAGAAGGACAGAAGGACAGAAGGGTGGAAGACCGGCATGAAAAAGCCCCCTCTCCATTGTTGGAAGAACTGCGTGGCTCAAAGAAGTCTTAAGTCCTTCTGGAAGGTATGATATTCTGTTGACCAACCCCCAGTTTATGAATAGGGGGTGTTCCCCTCCAAAAGTGATGATTCCCACTTAGGCCGGCAAAACCCCCCCTAGGATTACACTGGGGCTGATTGATATTTGGTCAACATTGACTAGGTCCTCCAGTAGAGAGGTTAGAAAAAGGGTACCCTTTTTTCTGGACGTCTATTTTAGCAGGGGAACCGAATCTCCCAACCAAAAACAGGGGGTAAACAGGGCACCTAGCTGGGGGACCGAGTTGATATGCCTGGTACTCGTCCATTTGCTCTACTTTCGCCGGAAAGATGGGAACTCCCGACCTTCCCCTTCGGGCGTCGGGGCCTGGCGGTTCCCCCAGGCGAGCACACGGCCATCAGTCATCAGCGCTGCCTCTGGGACAGGGAAGCTTTGGTTTCATGGTGCACGGGAAAAATAGGTTGCTTCACCCGAAAATACGGGATGCCAATGAAAGAACCCCCTCTTCGGGTGTGTTTGTCTTTTTGTTTTGAGACACTACCCCGTCTTGGTCTTGAAGAGATGCATTTTGGGCACCAAATCCCAATCCCAAAGTCAGTGGCTTCATGTTGGCTCCCATGCCGCTGTTTTGACCATGACTTTTCCTATGGTTTCACACACTACATTCATATGACAAAAAAAGTGGAAGTCATTTTTGTTGGCGTTTTGTCCCAATGGTCACCCCATGTTTTTTGGACCCTTTGCTCCTGTTTTCAAAATTGGACCAAACAACATGGGGAGGTTACACAAACGGTATCCCCAACAGCCCCGGAACCCCCTACAACCCTCCTTTTGAACCCTCCCTGACAGCTGCCCCAAACCCCCTTACACGCCCATCGACCCCAAAATCGCGTTCAGCTGGGGAAAAGGGGATCTGGGGGTTGATCAATATTCCGGTCGGCCCCAAAATTACCATGGGTAACGGTTCTCATGCGGTGAAAGTCAAATCTTGGTTGAGTGATTTCCCTAATGGTCACTCCATTTTAATGGGCCTTTTCCTCCATTTCCTCAAGTTGTCGATAGTGATCAACTCCCTTTAAAACCAACAGAGGAAAAGAAACGAAAACCACATCTGGGTTTTTTACCCATCTGGGAGCCAAACCCCGTCCGACTCCATTTGTTTTGCCCCCCAAAAAGACGTCGTCAACAGGCCGGGCCCCCGGGCAAAGGCGGAGCTGGTACCCCGCACCAGGCGCACGTCTCCCAGGTCGTCCGGGAGGCGCCCGCCCATGGAGCTCTCCCCCCAGCACCTGAAAGACTCAGGGCTCGTTTTCAGCGTTGCTGTAACGACTCCGCAAAAAATAGGTGTATATATGTATATTATATATATATATATATATCTTTTTTGTGGGTTTCATAGAAAACGCTGGATTTCCCAAAAAGTGAATCACTTTTTGTGGGTTGAATGGAAAACCCAACTGGAATTCAACCAAAAAGTTGAAGTCTAAAGATCTAACCCAATAGCAGTGGAGTCAGGGTGCCCCTTGTCACCGTTTTTTTTGTTGAGGGTACCCTCCCTTCCACTAACATAGCACCTGCGGGAGGCTACCTGGAACATCATGTTCCTCCTGTAGGGAGCCTCTGTCAGGTGCCAGATTAGTGGTCGTTTTCAGGCTACCCCTTAAGCACCAGAGCCCCTACCTGTGGCCATCATGTCAACCCTTCACTAAAAAAGGGATCGATCGGAAGTTACCATGGACACCATAATTTTCCTACCTGTTTATATAAGCAGCAACTTTTACTCTACCTGTAGTTTGGGGTTTAAGGAAAGGGTACCACTTAGGGCTTAGGATGTAGGGTTTGTGTTTTAAGGGTAACCCCTTTTGAGGGTATAAAAAAGAGGAACCCCACCAGTTGAGTCCCCTATTTTGACAAAGGCACCGGGTCACCAGGGATGCTCCCCGAAGAAAGAAAGAAAAGGAGGCCCAAGCCTGATGTTCAACTAGGTCCTCCAGTAGAGAGGTTGGAATAAGGGTACCCTTCTTTTCTGTAGCCTATTTTAGAAAGGGAATCCTCCCCCCAAAAAAGGTAAAAGGGCACCTAGCTGGGAAACATAGCCAACCCACTACCAAATCCGCCGACGCAGGTCGAGTGTGTAGATGGCAGCCCGCAACTTGGTCTTCCTTTGAATCTCTTATCAAAGCCGAAGGCTTTTGGGGCTGCCATTTTTTTGGCATGGTGTGCTGGGTGTCCAAAACCTTGTAATTTTCCAGTGTTTTCGGGGCCTGCGTGCTAAAAACCTGCGTTTCGCCTAGGTCTCTACTGGGGGGGGGGTTTCCCCCGGACGCGCAGGATCTGCATCCCCAGCATCATCAGGATTACCTTGCTGCTATGAATTTGTCTCTTCTTTTTTGCAGATACTAACGGTGTTTTGCTGTTTCAAGCGATGTTGGAATCGGCCTGTTCGGGGTCTGGGTGGGGCCAAGTGCAGTGATACGTTGAGGAACTGTTTGAATTTGCAAAAATGAGTGTTTTTGCCATTCCCCACCTGTATGGAGCAGTTACTGCGAAACATCCCCTGCATTATCGTGTTTTTGGAAGTCTATTTGTAGGGTATTTGAGGGGGGTTGCTAGTACCGGCTTTTGATTGTTGATTTTGGGAAATCTCAAAAATTCATATATATATATATATATTTTTCTGGCCAGCCGGCTGAATTCCCAGCATTCCCGGCATCTCTGGTATTTTCTGAGTTTGGTCAATTTTTCGCCCTTGCATTTCCAGCATGTTTTATAGGGAAATGTCTGTAAACTGGCAAATTCAGACCTTCTATCATCTGGTGCCAACAAGCAAGACTTCCCTGAAAAAAGAAAAATGGTCTTAAAATCCCTTGCACCCCACTGGCGTCGGCGGATCGCGTAGCGATTTCAATAATCAAAGCAAAATGGTCCAGGTACCGCCATGTTTCATGTTTTTCAACTCTACACCAAAGACCAAAGCTAAATGTAGATCCATGGCAGTGACATCCCCAGGATTACCCTGATGATGGCGCATAGGACAACCCCAAAAGTGGTTTTGAGAAGCTCCAAAGAGAGCCGTTAAAATGGCACCCGATTGGTTCTTCTTGGTCAACCCAAAGAATTAAAGTCTAACCCTGTGCTGCTAATCTACGAGTCCATAACATTTTGCCCAGGACTCGCATCTTTTTCATCAGTCCTAAGATTAAGATGGTCTTGGCCATTTTCTTGAACTTCAGTCTTGCAAGCCATCAGAAAGTGCAAGCATGTTGGATGTGTTTTGTCGCGTTCCTTTTGGGTTGTGTTAAGGGACACCATTTTTGGCGCCAGCAGTTTTATGCACACCATGTTACCATTGCAATGCATGTTGGGCCATTTCATGGCAACGGGTCTCCATGCCAAAACTCATTCAATGGTTCAACTTGATCATTGCCGTTGCCCCAAGCCTATGTTCCGGGATTCGGATAACTTTGCTGCCATGTCATGGCCCCTCCACAAAGCTACAAACATGCTACGAACAGACAAGGAGTGGCTGTGATCTTCCCCTCCTACTGTTGGTTTCCCTTCAATAGAATTGGACCGAATCCGGTCTTGCAACATTTTCGTTTGCAACCAGTGCACCAAACTGAAGGGTCCCTACCGCCTGAAGTGTCCCTTTTGAGAAACGACCCATGCCAATTTCCGTGCAAAAAGTTCTGTTCACAGCCGAAGGCTTTATTACATTTTGCTCACGGTCCTTTTGTTGCCACCTTTTTTGGGGGGTTGGTGACCAATTGTTGATGCCACCATCTTCTTTAAGTTATTTTGTTGGGGGGGGAGTAAAAATGATTGCTACCTCATTCTTTTCTTTTGCTTTTCTGCTTCGTTTTCTTTTGAGGGGGGGGGAGCCTGGTGGTCTAGGTCCTCCAGCAGAGAGGTTAGAATAAGTTGGGACCCACTTTTTCTGTAAGAATTTTAGTAGGGAACCCTCCCAACCAAACAAAATGGAGAGAAAGGGATAATCCACCAACAATTCCGCAATTACATATTTCACATCCAATTAAGCCCATTCTATGGGAACACCTCTATTCGACACCTCTATTCGCTACATTCCGGGGACACCAAAACCCAATCCACGACTCGACGCTCCGCGGCGCACTGCGCGGTGCTCCTCGGACAGCGCCACAAAGGCGCCCTCCGTCGAGGAGACCTGCCTCGGGGGGTTTCGGTCGGCGGTCGGATCGAGTCCTCGAGGGGAAACCCCCGCTCTTTTCTTTCTCGGGTTTTTCCTTTTTTTGGCACGGAAAAAGGGGAGAGGAATGCCCTGGGCCTAAGGGGTGGAGAAAAAAGGGACGGCCCTTGGCGTTGGAAGGGCAGCAAAACAGTGGAAAGAGTGGAAGTTAAGTGGGGAGTTCAACCACTAAACCACAATAAGCAAACATGTAAAATGCTTCCCAACAACAACCATGGTCCTTGACCAACAGCTCTGGAATTGAACAATTGAAGATTTGCCACGCATCTACTGAAGAGAAAAAAACCTCCATGGTAGCTTTCAGGGGCGCAAAACCTGAAAAGAAAGTCGGAAAGGATCCCTCCTTCTTTCCCACCCTTCCTCTATATCTTTGTTCAAACAAATGAGGTGCTATCTTCAAAAGCTATTCGTACGAGTATCCATTGATTCCCAAACCCCCTTACACCAAAAGACCAAGCTGCTACCAAACGCCCTTTCCCGCAAAGGACCCAGGATTCAGGATTAAACGCGGGCCCGTTCCATGAGAAGACGCTTTGCAATTGTTTGTCTTTGGGGGGCTCGAATAATAATCCGCCAAATTCAATGATCTGTCGACGAGCTTTTCAGCACCCGTATTCCCAAAACCCCACATGGGAACCCCATGTTCATCAACCACATTAGATTCATAGCTTGTTTTCCCCCACCAGCTGAAAGCGATTCGGGGTCGCTGCCCAAATAGGCTCTGGGGTGGTTTGGGGCAGCTTTTAGGCCGGGTTCCAAAGGGTTCCAGGGGGTTCCGGGCTGTTGGGGATGCCACCTGGACTTGCGCTTGTTTGGTTTAAGGCATTTAGTGGGGCATCATCACTTTTGGACTCTTGGACACCCCAATGCATTCTTTTTGCACTGGCAATCTTCTTGATCCTGGGCTCTTCACCATCTACGAGCTCCTCAAAAACATCGAGGTCCTTCTTGGCATGCCCCAAACATTTTTTCTTGAACAGGGGGGCCTTGCATCTTCGACAACTCCGACTGAACTTCCCTGCTCGAACTGATCTTCGACCACTCCCTCACTGATCTTCGACCACTCCGGATCCAACTTCCGGCCCTGATCGAACTGATCTCCGACTCCGACGGATCGAACTTTCCAAGGCGCTGCACCTGCGACAGACTTTGCTGCACCGCGGAGCTGTCGCCCCCCAAGTTGGGATCGCCCCAAGTCACCACCTGACATCCGCTCTCGGCTTCTCCCAGGCGGAACCCAACGGGTGTTCGGCTCTGGGGGTTACCAGTTTTTTTTTTTTTTTTTTTTTTTTTTAATAGCTTTTGATAAACAAAAAAAATGGAGTGTTTGTTTTAAATATATTTGTTCTTTCTTTTTTTTAAGAAGCAACAACAAAAAACAGAGAGAAGCGCAAGACAAACTCAAGGCGCAAATGGGTATGGGTCAAAAACTGAACCAGGAATTGGACCCCAGGTTTGAGTCCATGTTTCAGGGTTCGGCTTTGGGTACCTAATTTTGACCCAATTATTCCCGGAATCGTGACATTTGGATCTGTACCCAGATAATTGGGCCCGATGATGCTCCTTGCACCCACAGATGGAGAGTCCTTTTGGGGGTGCAGTACTTGAATGGAAATAGAGCGGCACAATCAAACGTCCACAAGGTCGTCCAAATCTCCTTGATCAACGCTGGTCTTCCACAAGTTTCTGAGTAAGAACAGCTAGGGTTAGGAAGCAAAAGTCAGCACCCGGCCAGGTTGAGGACGGCAATTGCTTGCGGCAGGGCCAATCCTGGTGTTCGGGTGAAACGGTTTGTTCAGAGGTGTTGCACAGTATGTTTTTTGTTATTGTTTTGCTTCGATCCCTTTTAGGTGGCCAAAGGATTCGACACCGGAAAAAAAAAAAACAAGTTGAAGGGGGTTCATGGTTCACCCTCAAATACTAACAACAATAATAATAATAGTCATCATCATCACCACCACCATCATCATCATCATCATCATCATCCGACCAGAATGGACATTTTGACTGGTCAAATTACAATCCGCAAGTTCGAAAGGGCTCTCCCTTGAGGTCCTCCTTTGCCTATGAGAAAATTTGGCCACGGGAGGCCCCGTTGGTTCTTCAACATGGCCGTGGAAAGGGTTTCGTGCGATACCAAAGTGGGATTCCCATCTCCGCTACCTTACAAGTAGGTTGGATTTTCTTCCAAACTGGCAGCCAGCCAAATCGAGGGTTGTTCCGGCTATCTTGTTCAGATTGCTTTCTCAATGCGTACTCCCTCAAACAATTAGAGGGTTGTTCAATAGTATCTCTTTATCAGACTTGGTTTCCCCAATGTGCATACCTTCAAACAAATTGTAAAGATGTTTCTCAAAGTGTTTCCCTCAACAAGCACTAGGTTCTCTCAGTTTTACTTTGTACTAATTCTCTCCCGCAAGAAAGAAAATCGTTTGTTCCTCTGATAGCTTCCCAAACTACTAAGTTCTTGCACTTTCACATCTCAACGAGTCTTCCCTCAACCTCAGATCCCCTGCTGAAAGTATGAACCCCAATGTGGTGTGGAAACCACCAAGAACATGTCCTTCCTCAAGTCGCAACTCGCTGCGGGTCAAACATCACCCCGAAATGGAACCGTGGAAACATGGACTGAAACCTGCGGTCTCTTGGTGGCTTAACTTTGACCCATACCCCTGAGTCTATTTGTGCTTCTCTCTGGGAAACCAACTGGGGAACTTTAAGAGAACACCAAGAGAAACGAAACTGCAAGGGAACCCAAAACCATACTCGGTTGCTTTCTGCCCCCTGCTAAAAGTTTAACTTTTAGTGGCTTAATACGGAAAACCCAAATTAGTTGGCAAAAAGTGTTCAGTCCTAACATCCCTTGGCAAAATGCGCCAAACCATGTGTCCTTCTTACATAAGTCAGACGCCACAATTTGACAACTCTTCCTCAGGCGAGTGGCCGAGCCGTCAGCTTTTAGCGCTGCGAAGGCAGCCCGGCTCGCCTCGATGTGCTGAACCTGACGCGGCTCGGGCGCAGTGTCTTCCTTTAGGGTGGCCAGCTTTGTGCTTGCTTACGGCGATTTGAGGGTTTGGGGGTTTCGGGGCTTTGGGAGTTTGGTGGGGTTTGGGGGGGCCTGGGGGTTTGGCTGTTTGGGTGTTTGGGGGTTCGGAGGTTTGGGGGTTTCGGGGGTTTTGGAGTTTGTGAGTTTGCGGGGTTGGGGTTGGGGTTTGGGGAGTTTGGAGGTTGGGGGGTTTGAAGGTTTGGAGATTTGGGGGTTTGGGGGTTCGGGCTTCGGAAGTTTTGGAGTTTGGGGGTCTGAGGCCTAGTGTCGAAAACGAAAGTGAACATCGCTTGGATTTGTAACAGCGCCTGAAGTCATCACAAAGCATGACACCAATACTCAGGCTTTTTCAGCGCCAGGAATGGCAAACCCATTTCCGCACTTGAGGCCTAGTGTCGAAAACCAAAGTGAACATCGCTTGGATTTGTAACAGCGCCTGAAGTCATCACAAAGCATGACACCAATACTCAGGCTTTTTCAGCGCCAGGAATGGCAAACCCATTTCCGCACTTGAGGCCTAGTGTCGAAAACCAAAGTGAACATCGCTTGGATTTGTAACAGCGCCTGAAGTCATCACAAAGCATGACACCAATACTCAGGCTTTTTCAGCGCCAGGAATGGCAAACCCATTTCCGCACTTGAGGCCTAGTGTCGAAAACCAAAGTGAACATCGCTTGGATTTGTAACAGCGCCTGAAGTCATCACAAAGCATGACACCAATACTCAGGCTTTTTCAGCGCCAGGAATGGCAAACCCATTTCCGCACTTGAGGCCTAGTGTCGAAAACCAAAGTGAACATCGCTTGGATTTGTAGCAGGGGGGTGGGGGGGTTGCGAGTTTGAAGGTTTGGGGGTTGGGTGGGGGGGTTCGGGGATGGGGTTTTGGAGGTTTGCAGGTTTGGGTTCTTGGGTGTTTGGGAGTTTGGTGGTTGGGTGTTTGGGGGTTTGGAGGTTTGCGACTCTGCTTGTAGGCCTCGGCCAACAAGCGTGTCAAATAGCGCGACTCATCGTTTATCATCTAAAACATCATCTGAAACGCGCCCGGTACTAGAAGTTCTCAAATCTTGATCATTCCCAAAAGCTGCAGCGCTCTTGTTACATATTTTTTCGGTGCTTTCACGATACATGTTGTTTCACTAATTACCACAGATTTGCTACTAGCCTATGCTGCTACTGTGCTGCTAGCCCCTCATATAAAGCACCAAGTAGAAAACCAATGATTTTTCAGACAGCCTGAGAAGAACAAGGACAAGCTATCATGTCTTGGGAACTGAAAGCAAGAAAATGCTCAGATTTATCACTATGCCGATGCGTTCACAGAACATGTTGGGAACCGACCACGCTTGGATTTGCAGGCGTCGTTTCGTCTGCCGAAAATACTGCTTGGACGTGACGTGGCATCTGCTCCTGTCTACATATTCGATTCCCGTCCTGTCAGATTCCATGGAAGGAGGGGTTCTTCAAATGTGTGGTGTCTCTGGAAATTCTCTTTAGAACCACCCAAACACTATGTAGCCTCAAAAAACGAGACCAAGGACAAAGCAACACGGCCATTGTGCGCTGCCCCCAATTTTAGACAAACCCATACAGTACCGTCCCCTTAAACACCCCTGGCACCTGCAGCAACCACACAATGAATCAAACATAGGCCTCAACAAAAAGGCCGAAGCAGGGCCGTGCACCCGGCTTCCAATTGGTCCTCCTTGAGACAACCCGCCCGTGGCCCCATTTAGTGGATACCCCTCAGCCACCCGTTCGCCTGTTGCAGCTGCTGCTGGAGCCAATGTGTTGAGCCCCCGTAGTGCGCCAGGCCCCATGTGACCCTGGCGGCTCACTCGATCACATTCTTGTTCGGGGGGACTTGTCGTCCAACTTGTTGGCGGTGCTTTTATTCGGTAGATGCAAGGGCGGGAGACCCCGCTAGGGTTCCTTGGCTTCTGAGTTTGTTGTTTGCTTTAACGCCTAAGACCACCCCCCTTTGCTTGGGGATTCCCTCATTTTAAGGGGAAACAAAAAGACACAAACACAATTCTGCGGTTCCCCTTTATTTGGCCATGAGTCAAAATCCAAATCGTACCCCCAGCGAACATCCCAATCCCCATTAGGCTAAAATGGATGGTGCACAAATCCCAAAATGGGATCCCAAAACGGTTTTGACAACCACAGCCATATTGTCTGGCATGTCTTCGGGTCCCCCACGAAAAGCTAAACTAAACCAACTTTTACTTGGTTAACGTTGGAAAGGAGCAACCATTTTCAGATTTTAGCAGCTAAGTGGTTGGATTTCAACCACTAAGCCACAACAAGCAAAAATGTAAAAATGGACGCTGGAAATGAAGAGTTCACCTTGCCCCCTCCGCCAACTCAGCTTCCAAATTAGAGGGTTGGTCTTGGCCAGCTTCAAACCACTTGCCCACAAGAACCAACTCTTCAACTCCCAATCCAAAAAAACCTGAGTAAGCTCCCACCAATCCAACAAAAAATCCTGAGAACATCTCTTGCCCCCCCTTTTCCCCCCGAGTTGGGGCGTAAAACCTGAGAAATCTTCCCATCTGCCAGGCGAGGGTCACACTGCCATCCGCCCGCAGCGCGGCAAAGGAGGCCACCGAGCCCGTGACCTGCTTCACCTCCTGCAGCTCCTCTTGCACCTTGAAGTGATTCGAGTTGTCCCTGTTGGTTGTCCCTGTTGGTTGTTTCTGTTGCTTGTCCCCAAGTCTGCTTGAAAAACAATTGCAACACAATAAATGATTAGACAAATGGCCCAGTAGCTATAGAATGTATATTAGTTAGGCCCAGTTGTGGAATGAATATTTTACTTTGACCAGTGAACATGTGAAAGTGTAGATTTTTTTGTACCTTGATGTCACTGGTATAGAGTCACTATAAAATGTGAAAGCTTATATTTTGCTGTTTGCTTCACTTTGAGTCACTGGTAAAATGTAACATGTATCCTAAGTCTACCCCGGCTCGGATTTTCGCATCCATCAGCAAAAGCCGAGCCGGATTTTCCGAGCCGTTTCTGTGGATTGGGCTGCGCAAAAGACGGCCCTCAATTTTCCCGTTCCCCTTAGGTTGTGGATGTAGTGAGATATGATTGACCTCCATTTGGGGTTGCGGTTTCTTGAGGGTACCCTGTTCGAGGTGGTCTTCTGCAGGAGAACCATACAAGGTAGCCAGAGCCAATTTGTTGAAGGGAGGTCCCTATTTGGACACCTACCCATTTTCTCCCTTGGCCAAACAAAAACCGTCGAGGAGGGTCCATGCACCAATTGTCCGGCTCCTGTTGTGTCGGTAGGTCCGAGTGTTGACCGGCAATTTGGTGTTCGGGTGACCTCCCAGTTTAGGAAACATAACACCATCCTATCCCAACCAAAGAATAAAGCAAGCCACTGCGCCAAGAGGTCCTTTGTTTCCCTCCTGAAAGAGGGGGGAAAAGCCAGCCGCCCAAAAGGAAACAAGAAGAACACCAAAAGGGAAACCAATCAACCAAAATACAGAGGAATCCAAATCACGCAGGACTTCGCCAAATCACAAAAGGATCCTCCACCAAGCCATGAAGCCAACAGAAAAACCACTTGCCTCCCCCTCACTCGTACCCAATTTTTGCTGTAGTCTACTTTAGTAGGGGGAACCCTCGCAACCAAAAAAGTTGGGTGAGAGGTCGGGCACCTAGCTGGGGGACCTCTCCTCCTCTCCGGCCACATGGTGGGTCAAAATCCAAATCGTACCCGCAGTGAGCATCCCAATCCCCAATCTACAGGTTCTAAAATGGCTGGTGCACAAATCCCCCAAACCGGGATCCCCACTAAAATAAATAGGTTCTAAACTGGGTGGTGAAAAAAAACCTCACCAAAACGGGGCATCCCAAAACGGTTTTCACCACCTCCCCCACCTCCCTCCCGCCTCCCCGCCTCCCCGCCTCCCGCCTCCCCGCCTCCGAGCAGTCGCCCCCGAAGCGCGCGTGGCCCCAGGTGACCACGGAGCCGTCGCACTTCACCGCGGCGAAGGCCCCCACCCCGGCGGCCAGCACCTCAACGTCCACCAGCTGCTCCTGAACGCTCCTCGAAAAGCCACTGGAGGTCTATGGGAAGAAACGATTCGCGGCACCCCGTGTTTTTGTTTGGTGTGGTTGTGTGTGTGTGTGTTTTCTTTTTCCTCCTGTTTTTGTTTGTGTGTGCGTTTTCTTTGGGGGGGGGGGGGGAGAATCACCCTGCGCGAGCTTTTTTACCCGGAGCGGGAAGGAAAAAAAACACGCGCCGCCACTTGTTTTTTGTTTTTCGGGGGTGAGTTTAACAGGTTTATTGCCTGGTTTTGTGGGGGGGGGGGGGGGGGTGAGTTTGAAGGGGAATCCTCAGCCAAAACAAGGGGGGGAAAATGACACCGCTGGGCAACAGAGTGCCTTCAGGATTCCTTGAAAGGAAACCAAATCGGGGATGGTTTTTGTGCGCGACATTTTTCGCAAACAGAATGAGCCGCCGCCCTCAGCGGCAGCCACCCCGAACCCTGGTTCAATGAACATGTCAAGCTTGGCCCTCCAAGACAGCACATGGTCGGCTTCTTGAAAACGGTCGGTTTCCTTGGTTTCAAAGTTTCGCTAAGGAAGCTCATTTCTCAGAACCTCCCCATACACAGAACATACCGCAGAAAGCACAAGGGATGGCTTTTTTCCCTGCCTGGTGAAATAAGACCAGTCACCCGCCCGGGAAAAACAACAACGCGGCAACCCTCCACCGTGCGAAATTGATCTCGTACCATCCACTCGTGAAGTTCGCCCGCTTACACGCCTTCCTTTGGGCTTGTGAAAGCAACCCCATGGGAAACCTCGAACTACACACCCATGGATTTTCTTCTCAGCCCCAAAGGACCTGGGAAAAGGTTCACCTTTTGGGGCCATGACTAAATATGGTTGCCAAAACAGGAAAACCAAAAGGTCAAAAGGTGGGCTTTGGGCAACTGAGTCTTAGTATCTCCATTTCACCAATGGATTCAACCAGGCTCCTGTATTGAGAACCATACATTCTCGCGGGGGAGTTCAAGACAAACCCACACAAATGAATGGAATTGAAAGCAAACCGAACTGGATGATTTGAGGGAGTGCGGAAAAAGAAACATGTCTCATGCATCTACTGGTGGATCCCTTTCAAATAAGTTTGAAGATTGTAGACACCCGGTTGGGCATTGGGTGTGCACTGCATGAGACTGATCCGGATCCTGTACCCGCTTTTGGGGGGCTCCGTGTCAATTTGCGGAAGGCCATGGGTTTGCATTCAACTCATAAACCCGTTGACTGAGTTAGGGAGATCAGTGAAGGCAGTAGGAAGAGGGCCTATAGATCCCTCATGATTGAAACCTCAATGGGAAGTCTCTCAAAACTCAATGGTCCAAAAAGCGGCCCTACGTTATTCTCCAGGGCTGCGTTTCTTGCGGACAAAACAGAGGTCCCCTGCTGAGTGTCAGGTTTTGCGACTCCAGCAAACCATCTCACAACCCTCCCTTTGTGGTTCCTAGAGCAGCCATCAAACACAAACAATAAAGCAGGCAGGCAGGCAGGCAGGCAGGCAGGCAGGCAGGCGGGCAGGCAGGCAGGCAGGCAAGCAAGCAAGCAAGAACACAAACAAACAAACAAACAAACAAACAGCCAGACAGACAGACAGACAGACAAACAAACAAACAAACAAACAAACAAACAAACAAACAAACAAACAAGCAAACAACATATATTATGAACAACACAACAACAGCCAAACAAGCCCAAAAAAATAGCACGCGCCAACCACGCACACAGAGTCCCACGGTTGATGTTCCGCTTAACGGCACGTTCGACACGCGCCCATCGGCAAGGCTCGAGCAGTTGCCCCCGAGGCCGGGATCTCCCCAGGCGATCACGGATCCATCGTGGAGGATCGCCGCGCAGGCGGCGCCGGTGCATTGCACCTGCCGCACCTGTGATTCGTATATGTGGGGAACCGAGCGAGAGCGAGTCGGGGGGTGGCTTGTAGGCTTATGGTTTGTAGGTTTATAGGTTTATAGGTGTATGGTTTGTAGGTTTATAGGTTCATAGGTTTATAGAATTGTGAACTATGAGTCTTGTGAACTGCGGAAAAAAAGAACCGACTTGGTGCGATACGTAGGGAACGACCTTCCGAGTCCGGGTGGGAATGAACCGTTTTGGGAAATTTCCCGAGAAAAAAACGGGGGTTTATTTCGGGGCCATTCAGTCCGAGTCAGGGTGTGATAGCTTATTTCGGGGTCATTCCTGGCTTGGACCATTCGGGGAGATTCTTAATTTCCGGTTTGTCTGGGTGCGATGGTTGATAGGTTTGTGAACTATGAGTGTTGCGAACTGCCGGCAAAGAACCAATTTGCTGGTGCGATCCGCAGGGAATGACCTGCCGAGTCCAAATGTTGGGAATGAAGCGTTTTGGGAATCCCGAAGAACGGAAACCATGGGATGGATGGTGGACATTGGGGGGTCATTCCCATTCCCTGAGCAGCAAGTTTGTGTGTCTTGCCCTCCCGCCCTTTTCCTCCTCTCCGATCAAGTGGATTGAACTGGGCCCAATGGAACCTGACCTTCGGGCCTTCGGGGGGGTCCTGGCTTAAAGGCACTGGTAGTTTGTGTTGGTCCCTGGTCTCTCTTAGCTCCCCCCAAACAAACCCTCAACAAAACGACACAAATGGCGAAACACCGCGGTGAGTTGGATGAAATGCGTGACCGAAAGGTAATGGGGCAAATCAAAAAACTACTCCCCTCAATAGTGTGAGAAACAATCTAGCTCTGACTGCCAGTGAAGGTACCTGGTTTCTCAGTGAAATACTATATCCAAGTATCAAATGCTCCCTTTGGACCCTCACTGCCTTGTCCCTTGGGTGCTTCGCAGTGGGACTTGGTGGCTTGCCTGGAATTCACCTTTCACGCGGATCCCAACAAGTCACATTTCGCCGTTTGCTGGTTCCTGTCCCAACAGCATCCCCAACGCTACCGCACCCAGATTATTTTTTCTTTTCCCTTCCCCGAGGCTCCCGACCAGACAAGCCCGAGGTCTTTGGAAGAAACCGAGTTGGGTCTTGAAACCATCCCAACTGAGCTTCATGTCGCCGCCTGCGGATTGGGAGGACTCGGACTGAATATTTCTTCACCCGAATAGACTTGACATCTAAGGCTCAGATACTCCGACAACTGATTCTGCACAAATGGACTTTCATGAACCTCCCCCCCAGCCCCATGAGTGTTAGAAGCGGTTTCCCCTGCACTTCTCTTTCAAACCACTCCCAAGATGGCGCAATTTGCTTCTTGTTTCTCCGGGCATCTGACGGCGCCCGTCAACGGGCGCACCCTCTGGCTTTCGTTTGGGCGGGCGCGGGCGCGCGGGGTTTTCGCGCCTGCTTCAGCTGCGCTTGGACGTTTCGGCAGTCCCCGCCCTTCTTCAAATCCCCCCAGACGGCGCAGCGCATGGAGGTGTGCAGTGCCAGCACCTGAGTTGTAATGGGGCCTGGGGGGGGAGGGGGAGGGAGCCCAAATAAGCCTGTATGAAGCCCTTATGATAATATGTCATGGTCAAAACTGCTTGGTATTGAAAACGGTCTACCCAGAACTGCAAAGAAGTATCATGGTTGTCACAATCAAAACCGATCGGTGTTAAAATGGTCTAAGAACCCTGCAAAGAGTTAAAACGGGGTCAACCATTTATGGTTGGGATTACCCCTTACTAAACTTCATCTACCCGCGCGTTGATTGTGGCCCGCCTGAACTTTCTGCCGCTTGTCTTTTGTTCGTACCCTTTCTGGACGGTGAAGGGAAACTAAAGGAAACCACCTCAAAACGGGGCTCGGGACAGGAAAGGAGACTCATCATGGTTTAATGCGATATACAATGGTGTCCAATTTACAATTGGGGCCCCAATCTACCCCCCCCCCCCAACCACCGAGGGTTCAATGGGACATACAACCACGATATGGCCACGGTTTCTCTTTGGCTTGGTGGTGGCAACCATCTTATCCAGGATGTGGATAAATTCACCCGGAGGTGATTGCAGGCTTTAGGACTCGAGAGACTTGCAAGCCAATCCTCACACCTCCAGACTTCCATAAGTCTGGGTTGCTTGAGCTTGAAGGGAAGCCACACCGGAAACAAGGGCACCAATTTTCTGGACTCATAGACAAAATTACTCTACATGTCACTTTCGTCTAACCTGCATGTTAGATGGGTCAAAAAATCAGCCAAGCTATTCACAAAAGCATGTTGCTCTAGGTTTGTCTCAATTATGCTTGACCGGCCCAGCCCTCTCTAAGATGTTCAGCCTCCCGCCGATATTACCATGGAACCAACCAGAGAAATTGTCTCCTTTGAGGGGAAACGGTCTTCCAGCCCCCCCCCCCCCCTCCCGCCCAACAAGGCTCTGTGCAATGCACCTCTATATTGCTTACTCTCTCACAATCATGGTGGCTGACCAAAAAAAGTGTGGGAAGATTGGTCTCCTGTTCATGACCCCCTTGCACTTCCCGATTCTTTTTGGAAGGGGGGGAGACCCGGTTGAATCAACATCTGATGGACGCCCTTAGGCCGATTGAATCACCCGGTGGCTCTTTTTGTGCTCGGCCCTTTGCTATCAGCTGTCAAAACGTCTGCGTTGCATGGAGGGCCTGCCGCTCCTTGTGCTTTGCTTGCCGTGTCTTAAGCTGGAGTGGGGCGTTCCAGCTTAATCTGCTCGGTTGCTTTCTGCTCCCCTGCAAAAAAACAACTTTTAGTGGTTTAAAGGGGAAAACCATGAGTTGGCAAAAAGTTAAAGTCCTAACATCCAAGTAACATGCACCAAAGTGGGGGCTAAGTTCAACATGCAGCCAACATCATTCACGGTTCCATCCAGACGACTCTGCTAATAAATTACAAGAGAAATACAATGTCCTTCTTGGTCGCCCATCGCTGACACCTCGGTGTGTGGAAGTTGGGCCCTGTCAGCAGGTATTCCTTGCTTTGATACAAACCACAATCATTTGCCACGCTCTGTCAAACTAGCTTCTTTATTTGGTTTATAGGTCTTTGATCCCGTGCTAAAGCTTATGCTGCTCAAGCAAGTGGTTGGATGCGGTCATTTGCAAAAGGCAATCAAGGAGCAAGGCCTCGGTTGTGGAACCAAAGCTATCTGCATTGACAGGAAAATACAGTAGTCAAAGTAATTGCAATCCCATTTTGGCATGAGAAAGGTGCTTCTTCACAACAACGCGTAATTATGGTACGCTCGACCCACAAACCAAGTTGTGCAATATCTACGACTGTGACGTCTATGAAATTAAACCCTAGTGGCACACAGCTGACCAACACAAGGAACCCAACTCCCACGCGGTTAGTTGACTCCACCTGTTCAATGTCTTGACCAGAGGCAATGTGCCATTGCGTTGTGTGACAGGAATTGTCCTTCACATTCTAGGTCCTCCAAAAAGATTAGAATAAGAGTACACTGGTTTTCGTAGTCTATTTTAGCAGGGGGCACCCTCCCCCAAAAAAGAAACGGTAAAAGGGCACCTAGCTGTGGGACCTGGGTCCTCAACATGCAATTAAAGTCCATTCTTGCCTCGCGTCTCATAAGTTTCCCGAGCAACATCCCCCCTGCCACCTCGAAAGTTTCAGGGAAAAACCTGTTCAACACGTGCTTTTCGGAGAAGCACCACCAAACCTACATGCTTAGGGACAACTACAAGCTGAACACCAGGAAAACCAAAAGTATCAGGGTCAACCAAACCCAACATGCTTAGGGGCACCCAGCAAGACCGCCAAAGCCACAAAGCTTAGGGTTGACCAGCAAAAGGACCCCGCCAAAACCAACATGAGGGACATCCACAAACTGAACACCACCAGGAAAACCAAAAGAAAAGAAAAACTTAGGGACAGTCACGGGTTTTTTCCCCAACACCAACATGCTCCAAGTCGCGGGTCCCACCTCCACTCCCCGAAAACCCAACCGCCAGAGGCGCCATGGCCCAGCGGGAGCTGCCCAGCTTTGCCGGCTCCACGCAGGCGAGCACGGCGCTGTTTTTGTGGATCTCCGCCTCCTCAAAAGCAGCGGCTTGGGTGGCCGACGTCGGGTGACTTCGCCTTTCTGAGAAAACCACCCCCCGCCCCGCCCAGACCTCACCCCCCCAGACCTGCCCTCACCCCGCCCCCCCCCCCCAGCTCCAGACCTGCCCCCCCCCCCCCCCCCCCCCGATTTTCAAAAAAAAACCTAACTTTGGGGCTAAACGGGGCTGCTCTCAAGTCCTATTACCATGCAACAAGAAAGGGGTACTTCCAAAGAATAAAGGGTTTCCCTTTACCATCGAATCGAGAAAGGGGTGCTCCCAAAACAAGTGCTTGTCCGGTGGGTGAAATGGACACACCCAAAAAAGACACACCCAATTGCAGGGGTCCCCAAACAATCAACCCAAAACATGCGGGTGTGTGTGTGTGTGTGCGCTTTAAACCAAGTCTCAGTCACCAAATACCCCTCTTTCCCGGGTATCCAGCACAGTGGCCCCTGTGGTCACCTAGATCCACTCAGAATGTGACCCATTTTTTGCGGGTCACGCCGGAGTTTCAGAAAGGAAGTATCTTCAAGCTGTAGGCAAACTAAACTCTCAAGCAAATTGAAGACGCGGGCTGAATATCACGTGACGTCAAAGAGAAACACTTTGAAAGATAGGCTTCCTCTAGTTCCCCAAGATCAAAACGGAAGTCCCGAAAGCATCCCCAGTGGCTTCAATGATTTCAGAAGCTTGGGGGCCCTTTCCCCCCAATAAATATGATTCACAAACAATCCCTGTGCCAATCTCGACTTCTTGGTTTACAAGGTTCCTTACAGAAAAAGCCATTTGGGCCTTAGAAAAGCTTTGAAAAGCAGTTGGTGAATCAGGGCATTCACCCGGCAAGGGAATACCCTGTCGGGATTCGCCTACCTGAGCGGGTTCAAAGGACGCCGATATTCTTACACTTTCGGGGGCCTCCTCAAAACGCAGTAGAAAGGTAATTGGCAGCTCTCCCTCTCTGTTTGTTGCCCGACAACTACGATGACGCAACAAAAGACACAGGTGCCTACTGCAGAACTTTTGGGTTGCTGGGTTCCTGCAAGCCAACTACCAATCCCTTGCCAGTTGTTTGTTTTTTTGGCGAGTGTGAGGTTGACTGTGGCATGCGTCAAAGGAGACTCCTTTGAATGGAGGGGCTTGCCCTTTAGGTTTTCCTTCAGAAACAAGCATAAGTTTTGATTATGGACCCTTTGCTAAACATCAGGTTAGTGATTCATGTCCGCCAACCACTTTTGAAGCTGTTCCAACTCGGAAGATTCAAAGCGTGGGCGCCAACTTCCCGTGAGCGTACACAAACTTGAAGGTTGGTTGATTGACATGAGGGTGGTTGTTATTCCCTTTAGATTTGCGTTGACGTATCAACACCTTGCGCGAAACCTTCCGCGAAGCTTCCGCGGTGTGAAGGGCACCCTTCCGCGAGCATGTTTCTCAGGTGGTCTTTTAGTGCTTTGGCAGCAACCATCCAACCGAAATCAAACGACTATGTGCAAAACAACCAGGTCCCTTCCGCGAGCTTCCGCGGGAAAAACCTTCCGCGAACCTTCCGCGACTGCAGTGCGGCGCTACCTGTTTTGGTGAAGAGTCAACATCATATATACATGTTTGCTGGTGCGGAAAAATAAACCACCACTCACATGGGAAACCTCTCTTCGCCACATTGTCTTCTTACTCCGCCGAATCAGCAACGTCACCTTACCCAGGCAGAACTAGCTTCCCTCCAACTGGTTTGGTACCTTTCGCATCTTTCCAAATCAGATCCCTCGCTCGGAAACCACCCCACCCACCTCCCACCTCCCTCCCCTCCCACCTCCCCCCCTCCCCCACCTCCCAGCGAACGCCGCAAGAAGCGCTCTGCGCCACAAAGACGGACCCCAGCCGCGCCCTGTGAGGCCCAGACCACGACCGCTGCCGCTCTCGTGGCGGTGGGCAAGCGCGAAACCGTGCCTTCGAGCGGCCGCGTTGCCGTTCAGCGCGTGGACGAGCCTGTTCCGGTCCTGTGGCCAAGGAGCCAACTGTCAACAGGCGCAAGCAAGTTCAAAGTCCTTGCGCAAAAGCAGCCCAACCCTTGCAATCCGGAGCCAGACGTTTTGAATCAACGCGGCCGAAGCCGAAAGAAAGGCTCCCGAACAGACTCGGCGCGCGACTGGCCCCGCCGCCAACCTGAGCACGCCACGCGGCCGTCTCGCGCCAACGCATGCCAATTTCAGGTGGACGCCTCCGAACCTGAGAAGAAGACAGCTCGCCGCGGCGGACGGAACGGACTGGCGGGCCGCGCGCGCTCCACGTCTCCGCCCTTCCTGTGTGAGCGCAGGAGCGCAAGTAACGACAGCTCACCCGCGTGTTTCTTGCAGCCCTGGCACTTGGCCGTCCGGTGGATGACCGAACTCAGCGCCAAGAGCTTGTCCCGCGCTGGGTACCGGCGCGGAACCTCAGCGCAAGCGCAGACGACCGAGTTGCGGGGGCTTGGGCGAAGTTGAAGCCGCGGCGGGCAGACACACAGGCACACAAGACACACAGACACACAGACCCACACCTCCCACCTCCCACCTCCCAACCCCACCCCACCTCCCACCTCCCACCTCCCACCCCCCACCCCCTATGCATCCCCCCCCCCGCCCCCCCCCAACCTCCCACCTCCCACCTCCCCCCCAAAGGCACCAGAGCTGCGACTCTCCTCCAAGGTGAGGTCTGGGTCCAGGATCCGAGCCTCGGCGACCAGCGTCAGCAGGCCCTTCCTCAAGCGAAGCGCAGCCCCGAAAACCTGGGGGGTGTTCCCCCGGCTGCGGCCTTTTCCCCGCAAAAAACGGGGGGTGTTCCCCTCTGCCTCGAAACCACAAAGAGAAAGGTGACTGGTCAAAAGCTGCACCTAAATCTCACTTCCGATCCAGTGGACTGGGCCAAAACCGTCTGAACTGAGTCCAGGAACTCACAAGGTGAGCGTTTTTTTGTGGCCCCGACTGCTTGGGGAGTTGTGTGCGCTTTTCTCACTTGCGTTTTTTCCACCCAAAAAAAACACGTGTGTTTGCCATCAACATGTGTTTTCCGCAAAAAGTGTGAAGGGCAGGATCTCAGGGAGTGAGTTTTGGGGTTGATGTTAACTCAGAAGGAAACCAACCAGGGTCCCATGTTGAGAGAAACCTGTCCTTGTCGCCCCAAGCAAATGTGCTGATTCTGGAAGCCATGCTTATAGTGATACAATGTACATTCCATCAAGATTTCCCTGGTGGAAAGAGCCTGGGACCCCCCCCTCTCTCTGGCAGCCCAAAGGCATAACGCCAAACAAACAAACAAACAAACAAACAAACAAACAAACAATTGTTGATGTTGTAGAGTTATAGACCACGCTGTTAGACTGCGCGCTTCTTTCTTGTTCTGTCGGCAGGCCCCTCTCGGAATCCCCTGCGACTCCCCGGAAAAGGCACCTCCATGGACCCCGCAAACAGGTCTCTCACATGGTCATGGTCATACCTGGGTTGCTGTTGACCCCCATGCAAAAGTTTAACTTTTTGGGGGTTTAGTGGAAAATACAGTTAGTTCCCAACAAGTTAAAGTCTAAAGATCCAACCCAGTAGCAGTCAAGATACATGGACCTCTCCCAAAGGATCCAAAATTGTGTCAGTCAAAGAAATGGAGGGACCAGTCGATGTTCTCGCGAATCCCATTTGATCCTCCTAGAACAAGGAAGGTCGACCCTTCTTTCCACCAACAAATCGGGAAGCACGCGCTGATCAGCAGGTTTCTGAATGGGATCGCTTAAAAGCATCTTCTTTTGGCGGCCCGTTTGTCGGAGCTTCCGCGCGGCAACTCCAATCGTTTCCCAACCGGGCTAAGGGGCGAAAGAGCAGCCATGGATTCAGCAGTCCAAAAGAAACCTCCAGATTCGCTGGTGGGGTTTCATGGAACAAAGGGAGCCCTGTTTTTTCTGCTCGAATGTGGTGCAGGAAAAACTGGTTGGCATCTTCTCAGATGCCCAGTAACCATGGGAAACAAAGGGCATCTTTTTTTGGTTGCTTGACTGTACAGAGAAGCCTTCCAAAAGAAACCAGGAAACAAGGGTGCCACTGGGCAACTGGATCTTCGAGGGCACTCTCGCTCCTTGGCTTAAACTGCAAGAGCCCCGGCTTCTGGTTTCATGCGGGCGAGCGAAAGCTGTCTGGCTCTAGGAGTTGCGTTGTTCTGGACATTTGCGGAGTTATGCTGGTGGGAGTTGTAGGATCTGGGGGTTGTGGTGGGGGGGATCACCATATAAAAAACACTCGGATATGATCTGAGGGGAGTCGCTTTTTTTTGCTTGTATTGGCCAAAGTGTTTGCTTCTGAAGCCGAAGTGCTGAAAGTGCTGCTGCGCCTTCGCCTTCAGCTGCCCCACCGTGGCCTTGCCCGAGAACGGGAGCACCACCGAGTTGCCGCTCACGAGGCTCACCGTAACCATCCCAAGCGTTTCAGGCCGTCGACTTCGCGACTAAAGGCGGCGAAGTGATTTGTCTTTGCATGATTAGAGTTCGGCCCAGTTGTACAGGGATCCTTGCATTCTACACCTGAACATTGCCTTGTGAATGGTGGTTTCCCTTTATTTTGGTGGAAAAAGCCATGTTTCAACTGGGCAAAATGTATATTTTCAGGAGCCCAGTTGTAGAATATATTTATTTCGTGGTTTGCTTCATTTTGAGTCACTGGCAAAATGCAAAATGTATCCTAAGCCTACCCCAGTTTGTATTTTCCCGTCCCGGATGCAAGAGGAAAAAACGGCGTGAAACCTTGTTTCAAGGTATGGGACGTGGGAAGTCCGACACGTGCCGCCTTCAAAACGGAGTTCGGAAAGGGGTCCATAGCTGAGACAAGCAACTGTTTTGTTGTTAGCTGTCAAAGGATAGTTTGGAGTGCTGTGGCTGCCATTTGGGTCCCGCTGTCCCATTCCGGTTCTTCGAACGTTGTTTGGCTCGCGCCGTGCCACGCGTTTCCGAAAATGGAGGGACCTTCCTGTCGGCTTCCTGTTGGCTTTGTAGACACAACATGGTTCCAACATGTGCGACGTGAATGGCCAGCAGTCCGCCACCATACGAGCTAGCAAGACATTTGTCGGTGCTTTCGTATTGAGCCAATTTGGACATACACTTCACCAACCTGAAACGACGCCGCTTATTGTACCAGACAGTCTATTGTCAGTTTCATTGAGCGTTACCATCACGATTCCTCACCTAATCAGCTGGTGCTGGGAATATGTGCCACTTGCCCATTTACTTGAAGCGGCGCCCCATGCAGCCCCCTCTCATGTTCGCCTTCTTGAATCTCAAACGCTGCGGCTTAATCGCGTCTGCTCTGGCAATGGCGACTTGGACAGTGACACGTGTGGCACGTGTGCATAGCTCACATGGTCAGGAATTGGTTCCCAACATCTGCCAAAGGTTCCCGTGTGCTTCCCTAGTTGCTTGTGCTAAGGTGCCAAGGGTGTCTAATCCTGACTCAAACACTCAATGAGAACTGTAAGCCCAAAGGCCTGTACAGAATGCAAACCAAAGCCAAGGGCAAAGCGGCTGAAAGGCTGAGTGAACTGAGCCAAACGATATCTCTTGCCCCAAACTCTGGCGTTTTGGCACCAAAACCCTTGAGCTCGGCCCCAAACCTTGGCCAAAACGAAGAAACACGTCTGGCACCACATGTGAACCGACTCAGCCATCGACTCAGGTCATATTGGCCCGTTGGCCCAGATGTTCACATGTTCAGGGTGCCCGCAAAAACTGCGGGCCTTTTTTTGTTCCTCGGAGGCTTGGGCGATGGTGTCCCATGGTGTTAAGCTCCCTAGCAAACAAAGCAAGGGAAAATAAAAAGTATTCCTAAGCAAATGGAAGAATATGGCCGCTATCGGATGTTCACAAATTGAGGCACGCATTTTTGGGGGTCCTTGGCCCGCAGCCGATTGTTGGTTGGTTTTCAAAGGGAAACCAAAAGGAACACCAGTTCCGGGCAGTTGTAGGTGTCCATGATTTTCTCTGTCACCCACAGGGTTGTTCTTAAATCAAGCCAAACCCCCATTGCTAGATTGCAGCGGTGTCTTGTCATAGTTGTGTCCCCACTACGGATTTGGGATGAGGATTGGGGATCCCTCCTCACACTTTGAACAACCAAGTTTGACCCCGGGCATCGACATCCTTCAATCCCTCTGGCCGGGTCATTTTATTTGGCATAAGATCTGGTTTAAAAAAATGGGGTTCCTACAAGTTCCGTTGGCTTAATCACCCCCCCCCCCCCGAAAGTGATCGATTCCCTTGAAAACCGAAAAGGCGAAAACAAACAGATTCTCAAGCAAATGGAAGATCGAGTCACACCTGTGAACAGGGTTCCGTTTTTGGTTCGTTGCCTACCCCCAAGATACACTTAAACCCAGGGGTTTCCAACTTTGGGGGAAAAATCAACCACCCGGGGGGGGGGGGGTTACGTCCACTTTGGGGGTTGTCGAACAATTTGTACCCCTGGTGTCACCGAAAGGCAAACGGCTACCGCCCGCGCAGCGCATCCGCATCCTGGGTCCGAAAGAAGTCGGTGGAGGAGGTCACCGACTTCGCCAGAGGCGGGGCCTGAAATTTCCGGACGCCCGGCGTCGGCAACACCGCGGACAGGGCGAGATGGCCCAGTGAAAACCATCCCAATCCAACCACTAAAATAGGTTCCAAAATGGGTGGTGAATTCACCTACCCCAAAATGGGATCCCATTGGTTTTGACCCACATTGTCTGGGCTGTCCTAGGGTCCCCCACTAAAAGTTGAACCAACTTTTACTTGGTTGACGAGGGAAGGGGAGCACAAATCATCAGATTTTAGCAGCGAAGTGGGGATTTCAACCACTCAACCACAATAAGCAAAAATGTACCATGCTTCCCAACAACCATGTTTAGTGGGTTTAAGAAAGAAACCCAAGCACTAAGCAGGGGATGGAAGCCAAGTTGTGGATGGATTGAAACCAGTGCGGGGCTCCTGGTGGCACAGGCCTTCGAGCCCCGGTTTGTTCGGCAGGCGAGAATCCCGGGGCGACAATTGTTGCTTGGAATCACCAGTTGCCCACACACGACTTCTTGGTGGAGGGTGCAACATTGGGATATATATATATATATACAAAAAAACAAACAACATAGTGTGGCTGGCGCTCTTTGGGTGCTGCATTTCTCCACGCCCCGCATCAATGCAGGCCTTTCAAGGCTCACGAAGGGGAAGCGATGCATCACGGCCTCCACCTGGTTGACGTTGGAAGGGGAGCAAACTTCTTCTTTTTTAGCAGTTAAGTGGGGATTTCCCACTAAGCCACCAGAAGCAAACATGTAAAAATGTTTCCCAACAACAACCATGTCCAAGAGACCCTGCTGTACAGCGGGAAGCTATGCGCTCGCCTGCTTGCTCGCCCCCTCGGTTTTAAGGGCACGAGCGAGCTGAGCAACGGGGTATCGCGCAATTCACTGCACCCCTGACGTTCTCCCCTGACAATTCAGAAGAAACCCGAAAAAAGAAAATCCAAGAAAAAACGTAGAGGAAACCCCTTTTTTCGCCTGTCAAAAAGGGAAATCCGATGCCTTCCCATCAGGGGAGAACACAAAATATCTATCGCCACTGGCTCGCCGGCTCGCGATGTGGCCATTGTGCCAATCACTTGCGCCTCATCTTTCGAATAGCTTTGGCCTTAGCCGCAATCTGTGGGAGTTCACGCAAAGAGCGGCGTCAACGAGGAGGCTGGATGAATATAGTTCGTAGGTTTTCTATACAACCCTTGGTGCGGTAACAAACAACTCTGCTTTTTGCAGCCCCCGGCTAAAAATGAGCAGAACCAACAAAAAACAGACCAAAACTTGCCAATAACAATGAAGTGCTACGGTATAATTCACGAACCTAGGAATCCCCCCAAAACAGAACCTTTTCGTTGAGAGTCAGATCTGATTTGAAGTTAGGCATGGCTGGACCGACAAGGCCAGCACAAGCAAAACACAAGGAAAATGAAGGCAGCCATTCAATTCAACCAATGCACTTCTGCCGGAATCACGCTTTGCACATTCAAGCATTCAAGTTCGTCTCATGTGCACTGCTCTGTGCTTGTACTGCATCAATTCTGGTGTTGTTTTGCAAGCCGGCAAAGTGTGACGTATGCTCTGGGGCGCCAAATGCAGTGCAACGGAAGCCAAGAGAAGGTTTGGACTTGTATGGTCCTTGATACGTCCCCAACAATCGCCAAACTTCACCATTCCGTGTTTTGGCTCTCTGAATCGGTATGAGATTGACAACAACTAAAAGTAACCTTGGTGTGGTGTGACCACCTCCATCATTTTGCCAACCCCCGTTGTGAGGTCGGTTCAACCCCAATATGGGAGATGCCACAATTCTAATATAGTGCCGACGAGTGACTTGTAAAGCCTCCAGCAACCAACCCAAGCGAGTCACAATCAAATCCTGGTAAATATAAATCTGCCAAACACATGAAATAATCACCGGGATATCCGGATATCCGCTGCTGTTTGCGGTGGGGCTATCCAAGTTGATCAAATTGATTTCCTCAATCCAGACATGAGAAAGCATTCTTTCGACACGACACGCAACTGGGTATTTGTGTGAGGGCAAGGCACTGTGTGTGTGTGTGTGTGTGTGTGTGTGTGTGTCGTGTTCTTGTTGAAATGCAAGGTTTTGCTTGTGACTCAATTCATGTGAGTGACAAAGGACATGGACATTTTTGGGCCCGGCCCACACACTTGTGGGGAAAGTGGATTATCCTCCAATGTTACAGTGGACTACCCAAATTATCAGTGACTCATCCCAGCAGTACCGTTCACTGTTGGACCCCTTGGTGGATATGAGGATTGAATTCTGGTCGGTCCAACACAGTCTCCTGCCCTCAAAGAGATGTATCTGAGAATGGGCAAATTGCCCTCCCACCAATTGAGAGAGCGGGTCCCTTGAGGAGAATGGTGTTCCAGGAATCCCCGAAACGTCAGGTTCCATGTCAATTGGTGGGAGGGTACCCTAGATATCACAAACCGGAAATACAGAATCTTCCAAGAAATCTTCGGCAGTGAGCTCGTCTTCCCCGTGGCCCAAATCTGGGGTACAACAAACTTTCAGATTCTGGTCCATAGGCTGTTGACCCCACATGAATCAACCCCGAGTGCATCAATAGGGCGTTCCTCTCCTATTGAGTGGTCTGATTCCAAACACTAAACCCAGTTGGACACCCCCCCGTATTAATAAACTGGTTGGTTGATTAAGGTGTCAACCTGACCTGAGTCACACTCAAAATCCGGTACTAAAATTGTCAACCCAGAAGGCGGATCTCCGCAGCTATTTGTGGTTGGGATTGTCCCTGACTAAGACTAAAACCTGCGGTCCAATTCCTGGTGGTTTAATTTTGACCCATGCCCACCCGGGTTTTGAGCACGTGGCTCTAAGCTGAAGCCTTACTTTGGCTTGACCCGCGACCTGGCTCCCGGGCTCCGCTGCTGGTGGTGGTCTCCAAGACCAGTTGCCCGCCCTCCACGTACCGCAGCGAGTCTTCCTAGACCCGGCCGCTCGAGTGAATCCCTTAAAACGCGGTGTCGGGGAGCTGAAGGACACCAAACCACCTTGTTTGTTTTCTCATTTTTTTTGGGGTTGGGAGGGGTTGTCCTTCATGGAAAAGGCGCCCCGCCAAGGCATTCTATTTGGTTGTAGAAAGATGGTCTAAGGGGCACTGCGGCAGGGATTCATGACTTGTGGTTGCTGAGTTGTTCACAGCCGATGCTTTGGAAGGGCCGAGGAAGATCCCACAATTTGACATAACCTCCCCCCGCTAGGTCCAGCGCGCTCATGAGTTCTAGACCGACACTTGTATGATTTATTTCACGTCGGCAAGTAAAGGTGGCATTAAAACCCAAATACGGGAATACCTGGAGTCTCCATGACCCTTTGAAAATGGGTCCATGCCCCCTTTATTTTGGGTAACGACCCCATTTTTAAAGGGTCACGGAGACTCCAGGTAGTGCCATCTGTTGTCAGCTCATTGCACCGACCCCTGGCCTTGTCCGTCTTCAACCGCAGCTTCTCGCCCTCCCACTGAGCGGTGGCCTGCAAACACGCTACAATGCGCGCAGGCATTTTGGACGGGGGACAACGTCCAATCTGGACAAAACAGGAAACACACGAAGATAAAATAAGGGGTATCCACAAAAGGAACATTCATGGAATTAATCCGACCCTTCGATTTAGGGGGGAGGTCTCACGTTTATCTACAAAGCACCTCCGACGACCATCCACTTCCATGATGGAAAAGCGGGTAGAGCATCTAGCTGTAACATCGGACACCACAGGGCGCAAGTGGGTAAACCACATCTCTATAGATCCGTGTCTAATCATGTAAACAATACATACACGTACAAGTCGTAAATTTTAAACCGATGTTTCTCACAAAAGGACACCCATCACAATTGAAATGCACTACAAACACACCGCAACCATGCCTTGCTTCTTGATGGATGCATGGCAATGGCTCAAACTCGTTTCAGCGACGGACGGTGGACTTGAGACGAGCTCACAGGTGCGCGTCGTGGGCTGCACTCAAACCATGCCGCACGTATTGCATGCGACAAGCCATAGACATGAGGAAACCAGCCTCGGGGGCTCCGATGTTGGCTCCCATGTCCTGTCTTCCCCCCAATTGGAGTAAGGCCCTGACATGGAATAACCATATATATATATATATATGCAATATTAATACAATGTGTATATATATATATATATAAACGTACACATGGGCGTTGATCAGTATTCCTGTCCCCAAAAGAGCATGGGTAACCTTTCCCATGTAGTGAATATCATCTGTTTGGCGGTTTTCGCCCATGGCCCTCCCATGTTTTACAGACCGTTTGATCAACCCCCACAACTTTCTGGGACCAAACTCGGACCCAGACACTCGGACCCGCCTGATATAAACATTGGGGTTGATGACTTGGGGAAGCCTCTTCTATTGGATCCGTACCAGCTGCGTCCCACTTTCTGGCTCCAAGGCTGGCCCGTTTGCTTGGGTATGGGTCAAAATTCAGTCGCCAGAGAACCGCTTGAGTCATGTCTCCATTTACCTGGATTCCATTTTGGGTGCCTTTTCTTGACCCACTGGCTTATAACTTCCTCAGCGAGGCTCAGCGGCTTCACGCTGGTGCCTGGGTCAGCTCGTCGGTGGTGGGGTCCATGTAATCAAACGGCTTGCCCCCCGTCTCCAAAGTCATCTCCTCGCGTTGCGAAAGCCGCGGAGAAGCGACTTGAGGGGACCCTGAGCTCCCTCATTTTGTTCGGCAGTTGAATGGCTGCCGCAAGGTTTCTCCTGAATCCCAATGTGGCAAAGAAGACTGCAACAAGCAAAGAGAAAGGGAATGTCGGGATAGTGGACAATTTATATCCTGCGATGTGCGCTGGACACATGTGTTGGCCCTGATTTTCGGTGGAATCTATAGACACTCTTGGCCGAGCAGATCTGCAATGCATGGGCTTTGGGCCGTTGAAAAGCGTGGGCCCCAGCTACGCGAAGTGTTCCACCAAGCTCCCAACTTCTTTCCGCGTGTCGCATACGCAGGGGGCAAAGCGAGCACGCCGTCCTTGTCGCCCAAGGGTGTCTTCCCGGTGATGAGAACTTTACTGCCCTCCTGATTGATGTGGAACTCCTCAGCTGGCAAGGGGATCCTGGCTCAAATGGAACGGGGCATGTGAGACTGCTACTCCTACAATACTTGCAATAGGGACACGGGGGTCTTGGACTTCGAGGAGAATACCTGGTAATCTGTGACGGGTCAAAGGACACATCCGCCCAGTACCGGACCGAGAGGTATATGCTCCTTCCTGCCAAATAATCACACGATCTGGGCAATTTACGAATATTCACCACTGGAAAAGGAAATTCCCCGAGGAAGGCATCAGTATGCATAGATTCGTCACCGTCAACTGACAGCTTCACAAGTTGTTTTTGGTGGAGACAAGTGTCCATCACGTTGACGCCGTAGCCGATGCCGTACCTGATTCTGTTGCGAGAAACCATGCTTCAACGGGTTTCCAAAAGAACGTAGGTTGAACACCTCTTTTTTGACACAGATCGGTGAGAAAGGGGCGAGGCACATCATGGTGCGCTTCATGTACCCCACGCCGAGATCTTTCAGCACGGCTTCCATGTCGCCTTCCACGGTGTCCTCACGGTAGCCCATCAAGCGTGACTGTACGGACCCCGAGACGTTTGCATTCATGGTTCTCTTGATCTATTGGCTGCGGCTCAAAAAAGTGGTACCAAAATGGCACTTTGGTAAATGGAACCAAAGACGAAAACCCGCGTAATCCCAGCTCTTTAATTTTGAGCCATACCCTTATGGCAACAGCTTGTGCAAACCAGTCTTGTACCCAACCCTGGTTCAACAAGAGCAAGAGGACCTCTGATGGGTGGTGTCAAGCTGCTTTTGTTTCAAGCAAAGGCGGGTCGCAGCTGGCTTTGCCCGATTCCCCGCTTGTCAGAAGTTTCCAGGGGCTGCCCTCTTGGATCAGACAACCAACAGGAACCCTTCATTCTGTAATCCACCCGTCCAACCTATATCAGGTTACACTCCTGAGCAGACAATGAAACCTCCAACAATACCAGTTCCAGGAACGCGACAAAACAGTGATCGGGTGAATAATAGATTCCACGAGAGAGGAACTGTGAGTATCCATGCGCCAATCTTGCTATGCACGTAGGTGCTCAATTTGTCCAGATTACGAAGTAAATAATCACAAGGGGGGACTGCTTCAAGTTTTTTCCCCACCCTCAGCCAAGCCTGCTGTTTGACCCAAGAGGTGTGGAAGGTGTGCAAAAACAGGGTGAGTGAACAAACACGGGGCGTGCCCGTCAAAGTTTTGTTGGGCCCTTGTGCGCGCCTTAGAAGTCAATTGAGTCGCGGAAACCGCCAACAGGCAACATCGGTTACTTGGGTGTGGGTCAAAATTAAACCACCAGGATATGGACCACAGGTTGTAGTCCAAGTTTCCATTTACTAGGGTTCTATTTGAAATGGGTATATATTTTTGACCCACAGCCATTTGCCGCACTGCGGACAACTGATTGTCAATCTTGCGCATCAGCTGACAAGGCGTGTTGCCTTGTCGCCAGCATACCAGCTGAGAAAGCCACAAATCATGATATGCAGCTGAAACCCCAATTAAGAACTTAAGCACAACATGTAAAGGCAAAAACGTGAAGCTGTCTTTGATTACGGCCTTAAATGTAAGCTGTATGGCTGATGCCCTACATCTTAGAGACAAGACACACTTCACCGTGGCTTAGGCTGGTTCGCAAATGTGGCGAAGCAGAAGGGAGCCATCTGGCTATGCGTCAAAATTGGGGGACCTCCGAAATCATGATGTTCCTTTTGGTGTCTAAAGGTACCATGAAACAAATACCCAACTTGGCGAATTGTAATTGAACCCTCCAAAAAGGGGCACCAAGGACCCTCCAACACACCAACTGGAAATACATCAGCCCCTAGTAAAAACGCTTCATGCAAGTAGATGGCACACTCCCTCATTTTGGTTTAGTCCTCCCCTCTATTCAACTATATTTGCTTTCATGGTGCGACGAGCTGTCAGCACGCTTCGGCTCAACTCGATTCTATGCCCGGCAGTCCATAATCCATTCACCGCAGAGCGCCATTGGAAAGGACGCAGTTTTGAGCGCTTTGGAGAGCCAAGTGCTCACAGGCATGCGGGAAAGAAGCCGTTTCGCGATGACATTTAAAAAACATGGTCTGTTAGCGAACCCCCTTTTGTGAGTGCAAAGGGAAACACTAAATGGACAACTCTGAAGGTGGAGGTTCCGCCACGTGGAGCACACACACACACACATGTAAAGCCCTTCCAGAAACAGCTTAGTCAACGGCTCTGGCAAAAGGAGGTATGTTTTTTGCTAAACTTTAGTCAAGATGCAGTTCTTTAGTCAATGGGTCAAGAGATTGAATGGTTGAAGACTCAAGACACGCCTTGCTTTGCAAGTCTTCCAGGGCAATTACAAAGTGCTATTTCCAAACAAGCGAGACGACATTGACACGAAAAGCATAGCATCGTTCAGTTGCCTGCGGTGTGCTGCCTGATGTTGCGCGCACTCATAAATGGTTGCTTTCGCGCATGTCTCTGTGTGTGTGTGTGTGTGTGCGTGTGCGTGTGCGTGTGCGTGTGCGTGTGCGTGTGCGTGTGCGTGTGCGTGTGCGTGTGCGTGTGCGTGTGCGTGTGCGTGTGCGTGTGCGTGTGCGTGTGCGTGTGCGTGTGCGTGTGCGTGTGCGTGCGTGTGCGTGTGCGTGTGCGTGTGCGTGTGCGTGTGCGTGTGCGTGTGCGTGTGCGTGTGCGTGTGCGTGTGCGTGTGCGTGTGCGTGTGCGTGTGCGTGTGCGTGTGCGTGTGCGTGTGCGTGTGCGTGTGCGTGTGCGTGTGTGTGTGTGTGTGTGTGTGTGTGTGTGTGTGTGTGTGTGTGTGTGTGTGTGTGTGTGTGTGTGTGTGTGTGTGTGTGTGTGTGTGTGTGTGTGTGTGTGCGTGCGCGTGTGTGCATGCGCCCAAGCGTACGTGTGTACGTGTGAATGTGCGCGCGCCCGACTCTCTCTCTCTCTCTCTCTTTCTCTGTGCGTGTGTGTGCATGTGTTTGCGGTGCCTGGGTGCGTGCTTGGGGCGCGCGCGCATGTGTGTGTGTGTGTGTGTGGTGAGTGATTCTGATTGTGCGGGTGTGTCTGTGTTTGCGTGTGTGTGGGTGTGTGTGTGTGTGTCTCTGTTTGTGTGTGTGTGTGTTTCTGTTTGTGTGTGGGTGTGTTTGTTTGCTTGCCTGCTTGCTTGCTCGCTTGAAAATAGTTGCTTACTTGCTTGATTGCTTGCTTGCTGTGAAGTAACACTCGAAAAGTTGGCTGCACCAGTTGGCAGTGAAGTAACGCTCGAACAGTTGGCAGGAGAAGTTGGTTGGTTAAGTTCGAGCCCCGGGAAAAAAAGGGCGAGCTAGTAGCCAGAGGTTCGCGGATCAAAGGCCTCTTGAAGACCAAAGACGGTTTCGTCCAGCAGGTTCAGTTGAAACCTCGAACAAGGAAAATCAGATGTAACTTTTGATCAGACGTTCCCATCACCAAAGTTAACTGCAATGTATTTCCACCCCCCCCCCTCCTCAAACCTGTGTGTGTGCGTGTGCTTTCTGACCCTTTGGTTTTGTCGTCCGGGCCAGCTAGATACTTCCCCTACACCTATCAACCAAATTGGCACCATTATTCTACCAGTATCAAAGTCACCCTCCAGTGGTAAACCAAAGGGAAACCGCCCCAGTGTGTGACTTTCATAACTGCCGGAAACATCAAACATATTGACCTCAACCAAACAAATCCTACGGGTACATCTGCACGCACCGAGGTTCCGACACGGGCGGCCCCCGCGCAGCCATTGGCCTCGAAGTCTGCCTTTCGGGACGAGTTTCTGCCGCTGTCCGCCGGGGCAGCTTTTGGCTTCCGTCCGGAAAACCAAGCGAACGTGTGTGTTGTCCCGTCAAAACAAGGGACAACCCCCCAAAACACCACGACCAAGGTTGGTTTTGGCTGGTTTCATGTTGGAGTCGTAATATCTGCCGACATGTTCGGGCGTGGTGGATGCCAAAAAAGAGGATCAAGGCTTCCCCCTTGCGCACCCCCCCTCCAGCCCATAGACTAAATCCTTTCATAATAGAAACTGAACATATCCACGTGCGTTTGCATCAACGACCTTGACATATTCGGTTGATGTGCAATGCGTGAAGCGATCGACCATGGCAGTGGAGAATGGTCGAAACCTGGAACCCCTAGTCCCATGTTACTCGTAGATGGGAGGGTAAACCTTGAAAAACCTCTTGGAACATGGGTAGAGGCTTCATCAAGAGCTCCTTCAACATATTCATGTTGCGAAAGTACCCATTGGCCAAGCAAGGATCGACCTATCGACTTCTTGTCAAGCATAACAGATGCTCTATGCGTGCGCCTCTAGGTGCGGACTGGCCTCTTGAAATGGCAGGTTTTGTGTGTTTCATCACTTTTTCCAGAAAGACCTGGAACAGTTTTACATGCTTCCAATTCTATTCATCCAGCATGCTTCCAATAGGTTAGAACTTGTCAGATTCGATTCAAATTTGGATAGACACGCCCTGGGCCCGTTGTGCCTGGCTGGTCCAGTGCAGCAGCCCCTGGCATCGCGGGCCGATTCAGCGAGCCGGCGACAACTTCTCAACGTGGTGGACCCCCCGTTCGGTGGATTTTCTTTGTGGTGGAAAACCAAATTGTGAAACCACTATGTTGAGAAAAAACACCAAAAGAGTGAAGCCAAACGTGTGAAATGTTCGGGAAACCAAAGTGAAACCAACTCTGTTTCAGGGACCATGTTGAGAAACATTCCAAAATGCGTTGCTTGTTTCACAAGGGCCGAATAAGGCCAAAGGCCGCATTGGCGAACAACCAAGAGGGGTCTTTGTGAGAGCGCTCTGCAAGGGTCGCCGAAGATGAGGGGAGGGCCAATTACATGAGCAAGGCACGACAAACTAGCATTCATATCTCGTAGGACAAGATTTGATATTTCAAACATGGCCACATATGACAGATGGCCAAACGGGGGAGAGAGACCCCCCCCAGACCATTCGGAAAGCCTCGCATGGCAAAGACCTGGTCGGTTTCTTTGCTACCCCTGCTTACTCCAAGGGGTTTGTCTCAACCCCCCCGAGTTTTCTGCCCCCAAAAATGGTTCGAGTGCGTGTTTTCTTGAACATCACCCCTCCAAAAGGACCCGTTCTCTGAAAACAGCATGCAATCCAGGGTCCCAGAGCCCGGAGCGTCTAAAACCAGTGAGGTCTTCAGGATACTTCGGCTAGCGACTGCCTCGCCACTGGCAGCCTCCAAGTGCACCTGGCTTGCGGCCAAACGTGTCTTTGAGCGGCAAATGGCTGTGGTGGTCAAAACCGTTTTGGTACCATTTTGGTTGGTAGGTGAATTCACCACCCATTTTGGGGCCTATTTTAGTGGGGATTGGGATGTTCACTGGTGGTACGGGACTTTGACCATTGGCCAAATCAGTGAATCCAGTTTTGTCCCAACAAATGTCGAATCATAGCGCTCTAACATAATCAACATGCTGAGTTATATAGTGCAAACTGCTCGGCAGGAAATAGACACGCAAGCATCACCATATTATCCGTGGAATGATTAGAACCAAACTAGAATCGGTGCCATCTATTCAACCTGTAACTGTATTGGGGAAAAAGCACATATGCCACCTATGCCTGCAGTTTGATGGGGGAAGGGGTCAGGGGGGGAAGGGGTCAAATTCACCAAATCACGGTGTTTTGCCCAATATCCCTGTCTAAAACAGGCAATCGAAACCCGCACGGATAGCACTCACCAGCACTCAGTAGCGCTCAAAACTGCTCAGCAAGGCTCAAAACACACACAGCCGTGGCCATTTTCTTGGCTGAGCCTGAAAATCACGGCCAAGTCTTTTCTGAGCTCACTAAATGGGTTCAAACAACCAATCTTGTTTCAAATGCACTCACTAAGGCTTAAGGCTTACTAAGGCTTACTCGCCCTTACATCAGTGCTACAAAGAAATTGCTGAGCAGTGCATGGTTGATGCCCCAAAGCCCTCCCCCTCAGCACCCGAACCGGTGACAAGTAGAATCACCCACAAGAGTCGCGGAAAGACCCTTCTCAACAAGCAACGAAAGCGCAAGGGAGCAACAGACGAGGGCAACAGCAACCACCAACGTGGCGCAAATCGCGAGAAAGAGTGCAACAACACGACGTCATTTACGTAAGCTGTGATGGTCGATGCATGCCAGCCAACTTGATCGCATTTCATTTACATGTATGACTGCGCATACATGCACGTCGGCGCTGTTTGGTGGGAAAGAAATTGACACACATGGCGCACGGTTCCTGACAATTCAGCACAACAAGCGCAACAACCAATCCTTGGTTGACGTTGGAAGGGGAGCAAAAAAAAATAAATAGCAGTTGAGTGGTTGGATTTGCCACTAAACCACAATAAGCAACAATTCGCAAAATGTGTCCCAGCAACAACCATCGCCATCAACAACCATCGCCATGAATCCGAGATCGGGACTCCGAGCTGAGTCACTGAGGTCTGTCAACCAGACGGTGCCAGCAAACATGTGCACTGTGCTTGCAGGGGACTATTTCCAATAAACCAATGGTCAAAGGGTTGGGCTACAGGAAATTCTACAGGAGAACGGCTTATTTATGGTGTTTTGGGGCCATTTCCTGTAGATGTTCCTGTAACCAAGCCCTTTGAAATGGAGGTCCGGCCGGCTGCGCTCAATTCCTCTGGAGTGAACAGGCTTCGACTCGATCGAACCCAAAAACAATTCCCGCGCCCGCAGCAGGACACCTCGGTAGAACCTGCGAAGGCAAGAGACATAGCCTTTGGAGGATCTTTGCTCCCGCCATCTCCAGCCCCCATTCAGTTTGCTATGTTTGCTGCTTCTTCGAACCCCCGCATCAGAAGCACTTGCTCTACCACAATCATGCAAAACATGTCACCAAACGTTAGACGTTGACCTAGAATCTGCCAGTCGAATAATACTTTCAACACAACATGTGACCACATTGCGATCTATATAAACATATCCACTTGCTTGCTTAGGATCAGTTTGGTAGAGGCTTGAACTGCCGCAAAGAAATGGCAAACG